CCAATTAGTCGACTCTTACGACATGCTTTTGGGGAGGCAGTGGGTCTATTCTTGTTTTCCCTACAATGGTGCCCCGGAACCCACACGGGGAAGGGGGGGGGGGTGCAGAACTAATTCCAGAATATGGGGGGGGGGGGGGGGGGGGGACTGTGAGAACTCTGTTGTGTTCCATGGTGATATTTGTGGAACAGAGCTGGAAAATGATGCAGCTTTACTAGAAATAGTTTGGCAGGTAGAGCTTAGCATGTGATGCTGGGTGTTAAAGGGCGAGCCCTCACAGCTGCTGGAAGAAAGTGTCATTCCTGGCAGAGGAGATCGGGTAATGACTTGCCCGGCGATGTGGTAGTGAGATAAATGCTCAGGCTGGGTACTACAAGTGCAGGATTTCACCAAACAAATGGGCTTGTGCTCATGAGATGTAGGCTGTTTCACAGTCTTCTCAACTCTACAGGCAGGCAATATTTGTTCAGAGGGTTGACAATGCTTTCTACAAGGTCGACACTCCATACCACTGCCAAAATCAACACAACAAGGTCTGCTGCTAAACTGCCTGCAGCTGAATCGAACTAGGTTTTATGGGAATTTCGAAGCGCGTTCGCTAATCTTAGCCACAGTCACTAGGTATATAGGTCAAATGTATATTTTTTGGGGGCCATTTATATAATGGAAATCATGTGAGCACTATTGGGTGGGTGGGTGGGGGGTTACAGATAAGGCTCCTCCCCCCCACAAACAGGTAAAAGATTAATAATTAGTTGTCCCATCAAAGTGAGAGTGCATTTGCTGAGAGGGGATGAACCACACAAAGACAACTAATCTGTAAAACAGATGTGCATGCAAAATTCAAATTCTGGAACAAGACCAAAGTCCAGAGCTAGACAAACGTGCAGAATCTTTCAAAGCCAGTGAACGCTACGAAGAAGATACACCAGAAATGTTGGTTTTAAATGTTCACATGTCACTTTAGAAACTTCAGTTAAATTTATGGCTAAACTTTCATATCTCAAACGCTTTTTTATTACACAATAAACCATAAAAATTAAAATGCTAATCCATTCTCTTCTTGAATGATCGCTATGTGTTCACCTTATTCTTGTACCGATGCTAAAAACCTGACTAGATATGTGGTGCCTACTCAAAGTTTAACTAGTAAACTTGTTGCAGTTTGGATTTATGGCTAAAAATTACATCCACTTCTAACCACATTTACCATTTTACAAAATTTAAAGGAATAATTTTGTTAAAGCAGTTTTCTTGCAGAATTCTTCGCATTCACTGGCTGTAACTCGGGTGAAAAGTTCTGGTTGTTCATCCACCTCCAGACTTTAGTCTTGTTCCAGAACCTGAGTGTTGTGTGCACATCCATTTTACATGTAGGGGAGGCAGTGGGTCTATTCTTGTTTTCCCACAATGGGACCCAAAACCCATATAGGGAATTGCCGATTTAATATAAAGGATGTGACCTTGCTCCTGGGAGCCAATCGAGTTTCAGAGTCTGCATCTTCAGGGTCAAGGTTGTATCTACAATCTGAGTGGAGAAAATGCTACGCTACTACTACAGCTGGCTGCAACGAAGTTAAATCTATATAGCATTTAAACATTACAAAACTATAAAATACAACATTCATAACACAAAATTATAAAATACAACATTTTCACTTGATAACATGAAATTGTTTTACAATACAATAGTTACAAAAACTGATGTTACATAGGAAACCATATGGCCAGAGAACTATCATCACACAGAATACAACATGGCCAGAGAACTGATATTATGCAGGAAATTATGTGGTCCAAGAACTAATTAATATTACATGGAACACCATATGACAAGAGAGCTAATATTACATGGTACAACATATGTTTCTAAGAACTAATATTCTACAGGACAAAAATCCTCTAAGAACTAATTAATATTACATGTGATACCAAATGGCCAGAGAACTAGCTTCACATAGAGCACCATATGGCAGGGCCATTCAACTGATAGAACTAATTAATATTACACAGGACAATAAATAGCTGTAGAAATTATATTACACTGGACACTATATGACCACAAAAATGATAATACACATTGCATCACCATTTTGACAAAGAAACAATTTCACATGAAAGGGACAGAACAATACCATATACCCACAGAGCTATTATACCAGAACAGTGAAAGGCACAACCACAATCAGCAACTGCAACCAAATAACTTTATGGCAACCACCAAATAACTGCATGGCGACCACCAAATAACGTCATGGCAACCACCAAATAACGTCATGGCAACCACCAAATAACGTCATGGCAACCACCAAATAACTGCATGGCGACCACCAAATAACTGCATGGCGACCACCAAATAACTGCATGGCGACCACCAAATAACGTCATGGCAACCACCAAATAACTTTATGGCAACCACCAAATAACGTCATGGCAACCACCAAATAACTGCATGGCAACCACCAAATAACTGCATGGCAACCACCAAATAACTGCATGGCAACCACCAAATAACTGCATGGCAACCACCAAATACTTCAGGGCAACCACCAAAAACTAACAGTATCTTTGCCTTATTACCTAAATGAAACTGAAGCAAAAAAAAATTCTGGCCGTCTTATGTACATATCACCCTTTCCCATTCCAGAGAGCTGTTTAAAATTTACCTCACCTGGTTAAGCCCTCATGGGTGCCCCTAGTTCTCTACTCTTCAAAATCTACTGAGAGAGACTGAACACAAGTTAGTGTGTCCTGAGCACAATGATATCAGTTACAGTCACAAAATATTAATCAACCCAAATCTCTGCTGCATTATAAATCCTCAACTTTTCTTTCAATATTCATATGTAGTCTGCTTTTCTTCTTAATCTGTATATTGTCTTTAAAATGCTGTTTGGCACATTTGTGTTGTAGCCTACAGAAAGCTGTGATATTTGCACCCTTTGGACAAACATGTCAGATTTCAGCAACTTCTTAATTAGTTGTTTTTTTCATGACCAACCCCCCCCCCCCCCCCCCCCCCCCCCCCCCCCCCCCCCCCCCCACCAATATAGAGATGTAAAAAGTTTTTGAAAAAAAAACTTTTTCCATGCCTTCGGGCATATAGGGCTAGATCTATATTTTATAGACCAACTGCCACTTGGTCAATGATGCGGTCAGCATCCACTGGCCGAATTTACTTCCCAAGTCTATACCTGGTCTGGTACCCACTCAAAGCTGGCTCAATCTAGGAGCCAGAGCAGAGGTCATTTAAACAAAAAAAGACATCATCAGGACCGAAACCCATGACCCACAGGCGAGTATCTAGCCATTACACCACTGCGACTACCACATAGAGATGTAGTTGAGTATCTAGCCATTACACCACTGCGACTACCACATAGAGATGTAGTTGAGTATCTAGCCATTACACCACTGCGACTACCACATAGAGATGTAGTTGAGTATCTAGCCATTACACCACGGCGACTCCCACATAGAGATGTAGTTGAGTATCTAGCCATTACACCACGGCGACTCCCACATAGAGATGTAGTTTGGTATCTAGCCATTACACCACTGCGACTACCACATAGAGATGTAGTTGAGTATCTAGCCATTACACCACTGCGACTACCACATAGAGATGTAGTTGAGTATCTAGCCATTACACCACTGCGACTACCACATAGAGATGTAGTTTGGTATCTAGCCATTACACCACGGCAGCTCCCACATAGAGATGTAGTTTGGTATCTAGCCATTACACCACGGCAGCTCCCACATAGAGATGTAGTTGAGTATGTAGCCGCTACACCACGGTGACTCCCACATAGAGATGTAGTTGAGTATCTAGCCGCTACACCACGGCGACTCCCACATAGAGATGTAGTTTGGTATCTAGCCATTACACCACTGCGACTCCCACATAGAGATGTAGTTGAGTATGTAGCCGCTACACCATGGCGGCTCCCACATAGAGATGTAGTTTGGTATCTAGCCATTACACCACGGCAGCTCCCACATAGAGATGTAGTTGAGTATGTAGCCGCTACACCATGGCGGCTCCCACATAGAGATGTAGTTGAGTATGTAGCCGCTACACCATGGCGGCTCCCACATAGAGATGTAGTTGAGTATCTAGCCGCTACACCACGGTGACTCCCACATAGAGATGTAGTCAGTGAAAAGTAATCTGGAAAGTAATCCTCAGCCTCTTCATTCATTCAAGGACATAGTATGCCTGTTTTCAGCATGGCTGTGATATCCGCGCATTTTGGCTGACACACTCATTTGCTTCCGATCCAGCATTTGTTGCCTAAATAAGCCTTTCTGGCTCTAAAATAATAACCAGTTAAATTCTGCTCAGAAAAACATACTTTAAATAAAATACATAAAATGCACGTTAAGTAATCAACTATAATTTACAATATTTGAACAGAATATGCACTTTATTATATGCTTTCATATCACCTACGAACCTCTGCTACCTGTTGCATATTTTTTCTTCAAAATGAGCGTTTAAACCCGACCCAATACTAATTTTAATATGGCTGATGTCAAATTCATTTCTTGTTAATTAAAACCTTTACAAGAGAACATTTTAAAGTCCTGTTATGTTAGACATAAATACCATGACACGCTTGCTGAATTAAGCTATGGAATATCAAGTAACAAACTTTTTATATCTAATGCAGACTATGAAAAAAAAAGAAGTTAACATGGTTGCTCAAGAAATTGTTTACAATATTAACAAACATATAATGAGATTTGATAATTTGACATTCTTAATGCTTAAATGTGAACCAACAAACAAGGTTTGATAACTGGACGTCTAATGAGGTTTGTTAATTAAATATCTGTAATGTTTGAATGTTAACCATTTAATGGGATTTGTTAATTAGACACACTTATTAATGCCAGAATATGAACCATCCAATGAGGTTCAATAACTGGACACTTCAGAATGTTACTATATAATGATGTTTGCAAATTGGAAATTCTTCTATGTAAAAAGAGGACTAAGCTTTCATGCTTTGTTCCACTTGCATTTCCATGAGATCAACAAGTCGAAGCCGTATCCTCTTTTCCCCATTTGCTGTGCATATGTAATCCACATTACATGGTTTCCGTGGCTGAGAATTTTCTATACTCCGCTCCATGAGGATTTTTGAGATCCAGAAGTCAAGGAGGCTGATTTTAGTAGAGCCATTTCCCTCCTGCTCTGAGTTTACCTGCGGATTGTCTTCACTGCAGTCTCCAGTTCTCGTCTGCTGGTTTCCACTGATTCCATCTGAAGTCGAGTTAGTACAAACTGGCAGCTGAACATTTGAAGCAATCTTATCTGGCGTGGATGTCTCTGTGTCACTTCCAGCATTGCTTTCTTGGTCTATAGGGCTTTTACAAACAGAGTGCACTAGATGCATCTCATTAGTAGGCAAAGGCAAATACTGGCTGGACAGTGAGGTCTTGGGGTATGCTGGGTAATTGTTATGTAACATGGCGGTGTGACCTTCTGTATCCTGATGTTGAACAGTTGTGGTCAGATGAGTATCTGTGTGCGACCTATACAAATTTACATGGCCTGTAGAGACAGGTACAGTGGCAGGAGAGGTTGAAGAATCGGGAAAGGCCAACTGCTGTTTTGGATGGGCAGCTTTTTCAGAGTTTGGAACAATGCCTGTTTGGCCAATAATCTTCTTGTGGCTCTTTTCAAAGGAAGTATGAGAAATTACACCACCACCAAAGTAATTAGTGGCTCTTTTGTCTGAAAGATCATTACTCCTTTTGCTGTTTAATGCTTGGAGCAAGGGCGACTGATATGGGCTGCAGGCAGACTCTGAGCCACCGTCACTGTTTTTGCTGTGTTTTGAGGATATTTGTGGTGAGTTTAGCTGTTTGTAAGCAAAGTTAGAATTCCCTGGATAATTTCTCATAGTTTTAGTAGTCAGAGACGTGGAGGTTGTTGTCGAATCAAGATCCATATAAGTAGGTTCATCATTCTCCTCATCATAACTGTCTTTCTTTGGGAGGGTTGCCAATGAATCTTGTTCAGTCTCCTCACATGTGCCTATATTCATGTCCTGGTGCATTTGGTTGTACCGTCCAAATAGACCAGAGGAATTATGGGCATCTTTAAGTCCTTTATCAGTTGGTATCAAGTGCTGGAAAGGTGTGAACTCCGTTGTATTCCATGGTGATATTTGTGGAACAGAGCTGGAAAATGATGCAGCTTTACTGGAACTGGTTTGGTAGGTAGAGCTCAGCATGTGATGCTGGGTGTATAAGGGCGACCCCTCCCGGCTGCTGGAAGAAAGTGTCATTCCTGGCAGTGGAGATCGGGTAATGACTTGCCCGGCGACATGGTAGTGAGATAAATGCTCAGGCTGGGTACTACAAGTGCAGGATTTCACCAAACAAATAGCCTTGTGCTCATGAGATGTAGGCTGTTTCACTGTCTTCTCAACTCTGTTGGCACGCATGCTGAGATCTAGTGGTTGCATGTCATCACTGTCATTTTGGGTAAAGAAAGCTTCACGCAGCAAAGTTTTACCCTTGTTTGATGATGCCACTGTACCAGAGTACAACGGCAAGGAAGCTGGTGTTACTTGAGACAGTGAAAATGATCTAGGCTTCAATTTCAGATTTTGCTCTTGAGGATGCTGCAGCGGGGATGATGAGGCATTTGTTCTCCTGCTACTGATGTGAACACTGTTACTGGGAGTGGAGAGCTTGCTGCTGTAATATGGAGACACTCTTTGGTGGCTGTTAAATGGCATTTCTGACCAGTTAGCAGATCGCAGACTGCTGGAATGAGGTCGGAAATGCTCTGAACACAGCCCAGTAATCACACAGAAGCAGTGTCACTGAAAAAATAATTAAAAAATGAATTAACAGATGTCCAGTTTTGAGAGTAATAAAAGGTGGAAAAGGAACAAGATACCGCACAGGCTACCAAGACTGAAAATAATAATTACTGGAAAATAGGCGCACATATCTTTAAAACAATAAACATACTGAAACTAAGAGCTAAAGCGAATTTTGAAACAAAAATAATAAACGAAACAAACAATCATATGGAAGTCAAATATATATTCCATTTGTATACCAAAACACCTCACGTCTTGCAATAATTTAGTGTTAGTTGCATTTCTTTTAACCCTCTTAATCCAAAAAGTCATTTTCCCGGTTTAGGTTGAAAAAATACCTGCATTACAGCTCTGGCAATAACAATGTTTAAGTCACAGTAAATAAATGCCGCAATGACACTTTTTTGTAAGGTTAACAATTAAACTGATCTGACAGACAAAAAATATAAACTGTAAACTATATTATGAACACATACATGTAAAACTGTAAACTATATTACGAACACACATGTAAAGACAACAATAAACATAATCAAATGTTATTTCTTTGGTTCTCTGCCAAACAACAACAAAAACACTAGCCACTTCCTTTTTTAGCAAGTGAATACAGGATATAGTCTTCACTGGGTTTTCTATTCCCACCCATTGTTATTTTATTTCATTTTGGTTTGGTTTTATAATAACAAAATAACTGCTTGCAGTACAAGTGTACAACTAAATTTTAGTTAACATTATATGGAATTAAGTTTAGTCTTTCTTTTTCATCCTCTCTGTAAATCTTTCTCTCTGTATCTCTATATCTCTGTGTGCATCTTTCGCTGTATCTTTCTCCCTTCTCTCCTCTCTGTTTTTCTCTGAATTTTCATTTCTTTTTCTCTCTATGAGCAAGTGGCTCACCAATCATAGCCACTTATATAGTTTTAATGATCTTTCTATGCCAGGACTCGAACCTCTAGTCCTGTGACAATCCCTAATTTAAAAAGTGTGACCCCCTGGGTGAATTTAGCTACAACAGTCCTGCCCTAAGCTAAATAAAGCTATGAGGCACCCTACCACTTTAGGCTTCTGCAGATTGTGAGGCCCAAAGTTAAAGCTTATTTAGCTTTTCCCTAATTCCAGCACTGATGATGCTGAACGATCCACTATCCTCTCTCTTGATATTAATGGGCCCCTCTTTCCCTCCCAGTTGTCCCCATTGTCAGGCCACTGGCTTATTTTCTCCTTTTCAGGGAATCAGACGAATGCTAGGAATAAAGCCAGTCTTACAGGCCATCAAAGAACAACAAATGAAGTGGTTTAGACACCTAACAAGAATGCCCTGGTACTATCTGCCACAGCGAGCCACACTAAAACGTTACAACGGGTATAGAGCAAGTGGAAGACCTCGGAAAATATGAAGTGATGGCATTAAGAACAAAAATGAACATCAGCCTTAATAGTGCTATGCTCTTGACAGAGCTCATCTATGAACAACATTACATTACCCCCCCCCCCCCCCCACGACACTTCGATGAGGTGAAGAAGAAGAAGACCACAGAATTTAGATGGTTTCTCTCTAATGCCAGTATATCAGATTGCTTCCTAAGATCCCTGTGTGGGTTCCGGGGCCCCATTGGGGGATGGGGGGGGGGGGGGACACAAGAATAGACAACTACCTCCCCAACAAGCATGTTGTAAGAGTCAACTAACTGGGAGCTTCTGTCGAAGTCAGAGTGCATCTGCCTAAAAGGCAAGGAACCAACAGTCTGTATGCAAACAAGTCAGTAAAACAAATGTGCATGCAACACTCAGGTTATGAAACAAGTTTTAAGTCTAGAGGTGATGAACAACTAGAACTTTCTGCTGGAGTTTACAGCCAGTGAACCACAATAAGAAGAAGAAGAAGAAGAAGAAGAAGAAGAAGAAGAAGAAGAAGAAGAAGAAGAAGAAGAAGAAGAAAAAGTTTCCTGAGATTGTCATTCAAGACAGCTTCACTGCACTTTTTCTTTGTCAGTTTCCTACAAAGTTTCACTTAGCTGACTGGCAATGATTCACTTCCATACATCAGGATTGGCTCTCTATAAACTCTCCCTCCTAAACTGGCAGATATATGGTGCTCAGAAATATGCTTAGAATATTCCTCATCCTGCAGAAGTAAATATTTGTGTATCGAGCTAATCTACATTCTTCTTTAATAATCTCCCATAATAACAGCAGGTGAATTCAAAGAGCAGTGGATGGATAAGAGAACTGTCTAGGCAATCAATGGTAAAACAGCTATAAGACAAAGAAGATGGTACACTAAACACACAAAAAAGGAAAGGTCTTTTTCCATGCCTTTAGGCATATAAGGCATATGGGATAGACCTATATTTTTACAGACCAATTGGCACAAAAAGGGTGATGTGGTCAGTTTCACGCCGGCTGCTTTTACTTCCCAGGACTGCACCCAGTAACCACTCAAGGCTGGGGGTGGACCTGGGAGCCAAGGTAATTTTGGAGAAAAAAAAAAGTCTGGCTCCATTAACAAATTCTGAAAAGAAAATCCCCTCGCGGGCCCTAGAATGCAAATTAGGAAGCAAGGATGTTTAAAAGAAACCCTAAAACAAACGTTAAAAAAGAGAGACCAAGGGTGCTTGACTGAATTGCATCCATGATATGCAAAGGTCTGTATGGGATAGAACAGAATGGAGGGATAGACTGCGAGCCCTATGTGACTTATAATGGTCACACGGGTACTAAAATGCAAAATGAACGGATTAAGCAAACAAGGATGTTCAATAGAAACCCTAAAATGAACATTAATAAGAGAGGCCAAGGGTGCCGGACTGAATTCCATCCATGATATGGAGAGGACTGTAGAGGGGAGAGGAACAGATTGCGAGCCCTACGTGACTTATAATGGTCACATGGGCTAAAAAACTGGCATATAAATGGATAAAGGAAATGAAAACGTTCGAAAGAAACTTTAAAACGAACGTTAATAAGAGAGGCCAAGAATGCCTCTGAATTTCAACCATTATATGAAAAGGTCTGTATGGGATAGAGGAATAGACTGCGAGACCTATGTGACTTGTAATGGTACATCATGACAATGACAGAATAATCTTCCATCTGTTGTTATCAGGATACCTTAGTGCTTACTTTACACACGCACACACACCTACACATATAGATAGACGTGATTTTAAAAAAAAAAAAACAGGTGGGTTATCATCATCATCATCATAAACCACTTCTGCCATTAAGCCCCATGGGGAGAAATAATTTGCCATCCAATGCATGCTGGCTGCCACTGGCTATTGTTATGCTGTAAAGGCGTAGTGTGTTTAATAGTGTTGATCCATTTTTTCACAGCCGTCCTCTTGCTCTTGTAGCTGATCTTCTGAGACGTAGTGCTTGTGATGGTGTTTGATCTAACAAGATGGCTTAACCTCTTGATCTGCTGTTTCTCTATGAATCAAGGCCCTTTGGGAACAAGCAACAGAATCAGTAGAGAAAGAAGATTATTATGGCCTGGAGAGAATGAGGCACCGGTTGTAACCAGAGGGTCTGGCTGGCTCACTACACTCAGAGGAAAGGCAAGCCGGACTTTTAACCAGATTGTGGCCGGTACCATCAGTATTGACTCAACTCAACAAATCTAGTACACCGTGTGGTTCCCACAATTTGTCTAACAGTATCAGAGGAGCTGCGTGGTCTCGAGGCATGATGTCTACCTTGAGGGATAGAGGTTCCGGGTTGAATCCCCAGTAAGGGCTGGAATTTTTTCTCATGGACTTGTACTTATAGCAATTCTCCCTGGTCTCTGGGTAGTGAGATCGGGCGCCCCTATGCATTACTGCACACATAAAAAATATCCCTTGGCAGCTAGAAATAAAAAAGAGTAGCCTAACAGAGCTGCACGGCCAAAACGAAGTGTAATGGTTAGGTTGGCGACTTTTCTCAGGCATCTCTTATTTCAGGTAGCAATTTTGCGTACATGGGCTTAAGATATGTCCATGTTCCAATTCCAATTCGTCCAACATAAATTCCTAATTTGATCCCTTTTCAGCCGCCCAGAGGCCTGCTATATGAAGGAAGGTTCTTTTGCTGTCTTATTTGAATTCCTTTTATTTTTTGTGTGTAGTCACACCTGATATTCCGGTTCTTTACTTGTGGTGCTTGTGGTCTTTGGGTCTGGTGTGGTCCAGTTCTCTTAGTGATGATATCTGTGGGTACTAGCTGACTGTTGCTGGTGCTTGGTTTACCTCATGCTGATCGCTGTGCTGGTGCCCTGTTGCTGCTTGGTTGCCGTTCTGTAAAGTCGCCGGGAAAAGCCAAACAAATACCGGGTCACAACATGTCCATGTTTGGCACTGGTAGCTTAATGTTGGGATGAATATGCTGTTTATTACTGGTGGCTATACATTTTTTAAAAACTTCTTCTGGTTGTTCGTCTACTTCTGAACTGCAGTCCTGCTCCAGAACCTGAGTGTTGCGTGTGCATCAGTTTTACAGATCTGATTCACTTGAATGGAGACTTTTGGCAACTTTAACGTTGGTGCACCTGGCATGTAGGGTGTGACATTTTTATAAACCACCTTTACTTCTTGGGTTACTAACTGGTAACCCAATTTTATAATGAACCAATGTTCATTTTCAAGCAGATTTGAACCTTCAGGCCTGCAAGAGAGCGAGCGTGCGTTTAGCCCGCACCCAGCTGCTCCAATTTTAAAACTTCCCTGCTCTAAAATCGCCAGCCACCGAAATGTAGGGGCTAAACGCTTGCCTGCAGATCCGGAGATTATGTGTTTAGGTCCTGACTTTGCTGGAATTTTGCTAAAAACTGAGCTTGGATCCCACGTCGACCTAAGTGGGTACCAGGTAAAAGTACTGGGAAGTAAAGGCGGCCGTGTGATGCTGACCACATTACCAACGGAGTGCCGATT